ACCAACTGCCTATAATTACTTCTGGCAGATACTGGAGCACTTAGGCCAGTAGTAGATGCAACAGTGAAATAAATTTTTAAAGACATGCTGCAAACCACTTCAAGATGCTCAGCCCAGAAGCAAACATGTGTCCATAAACCCAATCCACGGTTTATTTTACAGGATTTGTTCACTCTTGCATAGTAAAAGCCTGAGAAGAATGACAGCCACAAGTAATCTGTCAGTTTAAAATTAAACATTTATTTGGCTGCAATTTCAAAAACACTCGCCCCGAAGTTCCTGTCACAACTACTTAAGAGGAAGTGGGGTTGCATATTAGCTGCAATAATTCTGCACAAAACCAGTTATTTATTTATTCAAAAGAACCAAGGTTTTAAAATGATAATTTAACTGAGAAACATAAAATGGAGAAACAGAAGTGTATACTAAGAATACACATAAAAACTTCCTATCATAGAATTAGTTTATTTGGTCTCTCCTGATACTATAAATTTATTTCTGCCATGATTTTTATAGCTGGGAACAGCTGTCCCTACAAGCAACCAATTCTCTCTGCATTAATCCTCCTATCCCAGACACTCTTCCCAGGAAAAAAGAAGTGTCTCTTTTTTTTTTTTTCTATATGCTCATATACATTCCTGAAGAAAAGGGACCATTAGCATTACAGAGCCTTTAAAATTTTGTTGGTTTTGTATTATATCTACGTACACTTAAAAAAAAGTTAATCCCAACTACTTAAGTAAATGGTCTTCCAGGATAAGAAAATAGAATTAAATACATGAGAATGAAATACACAAGAAGGAAATATATGAGAAAGAAATACAAGACCACCTCCCCAACAATGTGTCTGCTTAGTACTTTCTAAAAACCTCTGAGCCCTCTCCTCTACTTCCCTGGAATTTGTTTTGTAAGTGCTCTCCAGAGAAGAGCACTGGTGTTAAGTTTATTAAACTTCCTAACAAATCCCAGGCACCTCAGCAGGGAAGGAATCTGCCAAGTTACCAGTGCCTCACCGGGCAGAGCCTGGCACCAGCGAGGAACACGGCCATGTTGGCAGCTCCCGAGCCAAGCACGAGTAAATTCCAGCAGGTTCCTGGGGTGTGCTCTGTGCCAGCCCAGGAGCTGCTTGGGATCACAGGGCATGACAAGGAGACAAGGCTGTGACAAAAAGGAGAGCTGCATGAGGACGAGGGAGGCAGTGGTGGCAGGAGGACACCAGTGCCAGCAGCCCCTGTGCCAGAGAGATGAGACTGGAGACGACATTTATGGAAATCTCCTGGGGATATGGAGGATTAGGCAAGTGTGTGAGGGATGTGCATGTCCCACCTACCCAGGTCAGGTCATCTGAGCACTGCCCTTTGACAGAATCACAGAAAAAGCTGAGCTGGATAAGGATACTCAAGGACCATCAAGTCCAACTCCTGCACCTGCACAGAACCCCGAGAGCCACACCATGTGCCTGAGAGCATGGTCCAAATGTTCCCTTGAATTCTGTAAGGTTTGGTTCTGTGACCCTTCCAGGGAAACCTGTTCCAGCACCCAACCACCCTTTGGGGGGAAAACCTTTTTTACTATCCAACCTCAAGCACCCCGAGACAAGTTCTCAGGTCGCATCACTCGGCATCACGAAGAAATCAGCGTGTGCCTCTCCTTTTTCCCTCAGGAAGCTGTATTTGAAGCACATGGGAAAGCGGCTGGGATAAAGGTGATCCACCAGCACAGGAGGCACTGGGAGGATCCGTGTGCCCACCTGGGCACCCCTGAACGAAGGGCTGCCTGAATGAAGGGTTCTCACTGCATTACAGCGGGAGTTACACACGGCAGTGCTGCACAGAAACGTCAGGAGGAGAGAAGGACGCAAACCCCATCGGCCGCACGAAAAGCGGCTCTGAGCTCACTCGGGCCGACGCGAGCGCTCAGCCCACGCACGGCCGGGCCCGCGGCTGCGGCGAGGGGCTCCCTGGGGAAGGAGGCGGCGCTGGTGATTAAACAACAACACGAACGCGAAACCTCCTTTTAGAGCAGCAGGATCCGAGCCCTAACGGAGGAGGAGGACGGAATCCTGCGGGGCGTCACGGCGGAGAAGGGGCAGGAATAAGGGCGAGGAGAGGGGCGGGAGCCGCGCTGAGGCAGCGCGCGCTGCGCTCCCCTCAGCCGCGCTGAGGGCCGGGGGCCGCCGCTGCCCCTCAGCGCCGTCACTTACTCGTGCAGCCAACACTTACTTGTGCCCCCGGCACTGCCCGGGCCCGCACAGCCCGGCGGGGACGTCCCCTGAACCCGCTGCTGCCGGGAAAAGCGCCGGGAAAAGCGCCGGGAAAAGCGCCGGGTTCCCCCTTGCCGGGCTCCCCTTGCCGGGCTCCCCGTGCCGGGCCGGCCGCGCCTGCGCCGGGAAGGGGCGGGCAGGGGAAGTGGCGGCGCTGAGGGGCAGCGGCGGCTCGGGCCGGGAATCGCCCGGGTCTGAACCGGCAGCAAGGAAGGGGCTTTACGTATGGTAAATCTTATTTTCTGCCCCGTACACAGCTCTGAAATATCGGCGGTCGCAGAAGCTTTGGAGCGGTGCAAGAAGGCATGTGGAGACCGCTGAGAAGAACGTGTACAGTATAGGAGAATAAATGTAGTGTTCCAAGAAGGCAGGTGGAGACCACTGAGAAGAATGTTTATAAAAACATAAAGGCAAATAAATATGTAGAAACGTATAGAAGAATAAATAAAAAGGAGGGAATGTCAGGGCTCAGGGCATCTCTCATCCTGTGCCTCCTTAAATATCCCTTAAATGAGTAAAACAGGGCTGCAAGCCATGAGTTTGGGTGTCTGCATGGGGTCGCTCTGAGAGTTTTACATGAAAAGCTGGGGAGTTGCTGAAAACCCTGAGTTTAGTTAAGGTTTGCTTCAAATGGAGAGAGGATGGGGCAGCGGGATGCCCTCAAATGCAAAACAGAAATCACAGAATCAATGAGGTTGGAAAAGACCTCTCAGCTGATCGAGTCCAACCCATGGGCCAGCCACGGTTTGGGACCAGATCCCACCACACCCCTGCATGACCCTCCTCAGCCCACGCAGGGAGGAGCAGATGGCAGCCCTCACATTCCCATCGTGTCCAAACACTTCTGGCCCCAGGGAGCTGCCAGGGATTTTTCCCGTTAACCCCCAAATGTTCTACAACTGGAAATCTTGCAGCAAAAAAAGTTCTCTTGCAACATTTCCAAAGTATTCCCACTTCGGCCTGAGCAGAAATGCTGCAGGAACAGCCTTGCTCAGGGAAAGATGAGTGTTTGTCTCGTGGTTAGAGCACAGGGTTCGTGGTCAGGAGCTGTGGGTTCTCATTCCAGCCTTGCCACTGAATCATTTTGAGAGCTTTGCTAGTCACTTTGTACTAGAACCAGTTAGGAATTTTCCATTGAGATGGTTTTCTGATGGAAAACACTGCTTTATACCAAACTGAAATCTGGGTGAAAATTGATTTTTCTGTTGGGAATACCTTGTGTCTGGGCTAGTTTGGAAAGGACATTTGGCCCAAACTGCAGTGTTTGAGGGTTTCTTCATTAGTCCAAATGTTTTGCTTTGAATGGATAGGTTAAAAAATAAAACACCCCCTCCTGACTGTAATTCCAAGTCATCTTACAGCATGGTGTGAATGTGTGCCCTCATGCTCTGCTTGGCTCCCCAGGAGGTCTGCGGTGTAGTGAGATTTAAATTTCTGTTTTCTGAGATGTGCACATCCCAATCTGAGTCAGACCTGGCCCACAGGGACAAATCCCAGCGTAGGGCCACCTCTCTGGCTGGGGGAAGCGCTCCATGCAGAGAAAGTGTAAAGTTCAGAGACACAAACGAGCTGTTTCACATTAGCTCAGTGGCCTAAAACAAGGCACCGTGACTGGGGAGATACCAAAATGGTGGTTTTTTTTTTTTTTTTTGACTGAAATGGACCTGATTCTGTTCCAGAAACCCATTCCTCTGCTCATTAAAAACAAATTTATTTCTCCCCTCCATGTAGTCATACACTGACAGTTTATTTTAGTATAATACTTGTTCCCCTCCCACAATGTACTTGTAGACACCATTGAAGTCCCCTATTTGTTTTGCCAAATTAAATATTAATCATTTATTTTCTCTCATAATAGCAAGTTGTGGATTATCTAATAGTTTTTCCTTCACTTCTCTCAGTCAGAATTCATCTTTTCTGAGCTTGAGTGATCAGTCTGACATACTGTGTAATGTTTAAATGATGGCTTGCAACAGACTTGTACAGTGGCAATAGTAATTCCTTCTGCACTCTTTTAGTTACAGACAGGCATCAAATTTGCCTTTTTTACACCTATATCACATTAGCACCTCAATTTACCCAGTTCTTTTTGCTCCAATAAATAACAAAAGCGAGTACAGACAAATTTATTAACTTTTGCTTAATACATTTTTCCATTTCACCTCACTTCTCTGGTACTCACATGGTTTCTTTCCAAGTGAGGGACAAAAGAAGATATTTTCAAGAACAATTATAAGTTTCCAGCTTCCAAAATCAAAGACCTGAAAATGCTTTTAATTAAAGAATCCAAGTTTAGATTATCACATATTCCCAAGCCCACATGAGGCTTAATTCATTGCTCCTTTGAAATATTCTGAAAGCCAAGGGTAAAGAGGTGTTATATTAGTGCAGAATAATGATGATTAATTTGTGCTTTGTATCAAATGCAGGAGGAGCAGATACATGTGCAGTGAATCCTCTATAATTCCAATATATTTCTATAAACTTGAAAATATTCTGTGGAAGTACATGCCTTAAATGGAACTCAACCAATTTTTTCTGTTTAGCATTTGGCTGTTGCAGTTATCCTTCAAAAAACCCTCCCCCTTCTTCTAAGATTCTGGACAGATTCACTTAAAATACACCCTTTTGCCTTTTCATTATGGAGTAACTAATGAAAATTCCATTTTAAATGTGCTTTCTGGGAGACAAGGATGGTTTTTTTTTTGGTGGTTTTTTTTTTTTTTTTTTTTTTTTGGTGATTAACCAGAGCCCGTATTTCAGGCAGCAGGGAAACAGCTCCAGGTAGTGTAAATCAGCATTGCCCAAGATGGCCCTCAGTCCTCTCAACCCCACAGAACAATTTAGTGGGTTTAGATGACAGTTGGCATCTTTGAAATATTCTCTTTTGCAGAACTAGACTAGATGTGACACTTGCTGGAGAAGAAATCTTGCATAAATCTGTCAAAAAAGACTCAATCATATTACTTCACTAGCTGTGGTAACCTTTGGAGGCCAAAGTCCAGACAGGTTGAGAAATGGAGCATGAGTCCATAAAGGTGACAATTCCATTAACTGTAATCAGTGAGAGAGGTGAATGGTGAGATAAAGACAAATGACTCCTTCTGTAAAAAAAAGAAAATATGTGTGTGCAGGGGAAAGAGGCAGAATGAACATTTTCCTGCTGAGGAAATAAAGACCCAACCCTGCTCTGTTAAGATCAACACAAAAACATTTCTTGAGCTCAGTGGGTGCAAGTTTTGCCCCAACATCCTGACTTCTGGTGAATGTCAAGCAGCAATGGACCTCTGAACACCCCAAAATTCCATTTAGATGCTTATTAACATAAAATTGGAAGGGAAAAAAATATTTCATAAAGTTCCTGCTTGCTTATGTGCTTAGGCAGATCATACAAGCACCTAAGGGTGGGTTTTAATCTCATTTGATGAAGTATAGCACTTTTTCAAGTGTTATAGGAAGCAGAAGCTGGGGAATACTCTGGATGAAGTGCTTACTGGGCCGTTAGACCAGAACTATTCATCTAACAGGGAGATGGGGAAGTAAAAACCAAATGAATTCTCTGCAACAAGAAGGGATTTTTGAGTGTACAATAGAAAAAAAAAGGAAATTTCCTTTGGGGGATTTTTTCTGGTTTTAGCAGAAATATTAAGTTACTCTTGGATACTGGAGTGGCCAAAAAGGAAAATCCCTGTTTTAAGTTCCTCTAAATATAGCTAGAAAAATAATTCCAATTTTATCAATTTGTGGCCCATTTCCTCACTTTTTGGGCAGCTCACCTTTTAATACCAAAGTCAGAAGCTGATACAAACAAGCAGACAATATTTCAGCCTCCACCAAAATTCCAGTGTCTTGCCCAGGGCCTGTTCCTGCCTGCCCACTTGGCTGGACACCAATATCCTTTATTCTCAGGGGAGTCAGCCTTCCAAAAAACCACTTGGCACTGGAGTCAGGGCTGCTCTGTTTTCCTAACGTTCGTGGCAGGCAGGATGTTTTCCGACTCTGGTACCCAACAGTTGAGCATTCCAGACAGCACAGGGATTTTTCTTTTGAAACCACACTTCCAAAGCCATAAGAATAAGGGAGGTTCTGTGATCCCGTGTGATCCTGGTGGGAAAATAGGATGACTCTGTTGTCACACAGAGATGCACAAAAGGAAAATGCTTATGGCTCTTGCCACCTTTGTAAACTCTCCTTCTGTGGTGTGAATGCTGAAATAATCCTGGCTTGAAGTCCTGTTTCATCAACTGGTTCCCCTCTGGGAAGATTGCCAGAAGGAGAAGACCCCCTCCCAAAATGCCTGGCCAGAAAAGCAGCCCACTGGTGCAGTGTGGCAGAGGGAGTGCTCAGTAGTCTGTGCACACAGTGTTTTCAGCAAGTGAAAATGTTGTTTGCTTGCTCCCCAGAATATACAGTACAGATACCCCTACAACTTTTTTTTTGCCTATCCCTTACACTCCTTGAATTTTAGAAACATGACTTTATCATTAACATTTTTGTTCAAGTGATTCCTGAGCTCAGTGATGTCAGGGCCAGCTCTGTCTTTCCCTTGTGGAACAGACACTGCCCAGGGCAGGGCAGGCAGGTGACAGCTCAGCCAGGACTGGACTCTTCACTGCCCAGGAGCAAACACACTGTCCTGGGAGGCAAACTGCCAGAGACATCCCCCCCACAGCCCTGTGCCAAAATCCAGATGTGCAAAATCCTGAAATCCCAATCTGTCAAGCTGGAAATGAATTTCACAAGCCAAGCTGTGAAAATCTCCTCAAATTTCACAATACCTTACATCTCCAGAAAAATGGCGAACAGAGGTTAAATATTTTTTTTTCTGCAACATCCTTCCAAGACTTTTTCCATAGGATATGACCAGCTTGCATGAAGTACTTTGTTTCAGTGGTGATATATCACACAGTGGTGCCAAATCCAGTCAGTGTGGGGAGGACTGAAAAGGCTGAGCCACCCTCCAGGCAGTGTGTCCTGATGCCATTCCTGGCACCTTCTACAAAAGGCAGATTCTATTTTGCCCTTTGAATTCCAAAACTGGTGAACACAGTCATGGGAGGCAATCAGTCAAGATCTGTTAATTTGCAAAAAATATAACTGTCTGTTCTCCAAGGGTAAGATTAAGTGGGATCTGTACTTCCCAGATTATAAACAACACGCAGCCTTTCTCCTTAACTCGTTGCAAAATGTACAAATGTTCCAACGCCAGCTCTGTAATCTTTTAAAATCTTAAAACAGAACAGGGGCTCATTCCATTACATAAAAAGAAGTTTGTAGGATCGTGTAGCTACCTGCAAATCACACACAGATAAACCAAACAGCACAAGAAACAGGTATAAAATCACCTTTTATGTAGCAGTGAGATTGTCATGCTCTGTGTACAACCCAAAACAAATTGTCTGTTTAGAATTAAAATATGATACTGTTTCCAAAAGTCTTGCCTTCAGGGAGATAGTTTTATACCACAGGGCAGATTCAGCTCTGGTGTAGGATTTCTGATTTTCATGGAATTGCACCATTAAGGAATTTGGCCCAACATCTTGCCCACACTGATGCAATTCAACTTTTAAGGGACAGCTATGGGGTTTCCTCCTAAGTCAGGCCAAGTTTCTGGAACAAGGGAAGTCTGTAAAAGAAACCGTTGGAGGGATGTTTTAGTCTGGCATTCAGGAACATTCCCATATTAGAAAACGTCACAGGGTTTATTTTGTATGTCTTGCATGTTAGAATTCCGTGATTTTTCTTCTTTCATTTCAGAGACATTGTCAGTAGGTGGTCACAGTAAAACTGGATAAACCCCAAAGAAATGTAATGAAATTATTATAGACAGAGTGAGTAGAGAGACATTTGTGGATCCAGTTCATTCTGCCTTATCTTTGTTATATAAACCTATTTTCCATACTTAATGTATTGCCTGAGCTTGCAGTATATGATTAACAGAACGTCTGCACCACTCAGAACTCTGGAGAAAAAATGTGAGATGTTAATTTGCCAACATTTTAGGTAACTTCAAATATTCTGGGCGTGACTGATCTCACAGAGTGCTTTGGATAACAGATGGAAATCTGAATACACACACTGATGCTCTCACTGATGTTGAAAACTTCTGTGCAGGAACAAAGAGCTCTAACACTTCCCTGCTCCTGGAGCTAACCTGGTATTTCCTAAAATCATGCAGCTCCACAGGTCATGGCCCAGCAAACAGGAGTCTCCCCAGCTCTTCCTGCCAGCGCTGCATGTACCGGGCACTGTGACGGGGTGGAAATCTGATGCTGTCAAGGCTCTGGGGGAGATTATTCCCTTCCCTCTGCAGTTGTTTGAGCTGCCCAGACAGCATGAAGCACATGCTCAGGTTCTTAAGGATTCCTGGGAAAATCAACACTGTTTCAAAACTACACCAGAACCAAAACTATGAAAAGATTAATCGAGCTTGGGTCAAGAGAGAAGAAGGATGCAATAGCTTGTGACAGCAATGAGCTGGTAAATGATGTGCCCAATTCTTAGGTCTCTTATGAATAAGTCAGAATATTCAGTGCATCACATCAAAAACTCCTTTGGACTATTGACATAATATCTGAAAGAACATGGAAAAATGATAGGACAATCAAAGGTACAATTTAATTTTCCTACTTGCATTCTTACACTAATCTGACAATCATAAAGCCTTAGTATAAATCAAATGGAGCAAAAGCTCTCAGTAACTTAAAACATAGACAGAAATATGTGTAGAATATGCTTTTATGTGTTTACAAGAGTTACAAGAAACTTTGGCACAGATGCAATTCGCACAAGAAGCAGAATGAACCTGCTTCAAGCATTCCTTAAAATCTCATTCTGCTTTGGTAACCTCTGGATTTTGCAGCTTGTCTTCCCAAAGCTATGATAAAACTATCATGGCTTTCATTAACTTTTTGAGTCATTGGCTAGTCAAAAAAGCTGAAAGTGATATAAAAAGCAAGACATGACAAAAATCAGAAATACTGGATGTATTTGCCATTTCTGTCAGCCACAGCTACGAATGCTGTGATAAAGCAAGATAAGAAATTAAGGAAGGAAATAAGTGGCAACTGCATTCTTATTTTAGAGTATTTTATATCTGATTGTTCCAAAATGAGGAGGAATATGTGACTGGGTATGTAACTCCACCCTCTCCAAGAATTGCTGGGATCATTGTTTGTGAGTGTATCCAAACACCAGAAGAGTTTCCTTACCTCCAGTCTGTTGCAGTCATGGAAATGCCCTGGGATGTTCTGGTGGACACCTCATCCCTGTGGTCACAGCATACACTGGGAGGTCATAATCTTGGGACTTATGGGACTGGAAAATTAGAATTGTAGCTAATTGTCCCATATTTCCTTCCATGGAATCCTGGCACTGAGGGCCAGCAGCTAAGAAGCAAATCCATGTGCAGGGCACGACTCTGCCATCATGGGCACAGGACCTGACGTAGGGTTGATGAGAGATCCTCATCCTTTGTGACTGCCTATCACAGTCACCTTGAATGCCAAGTGCCCTGCTTCAAGTTAACTCTGGGTTTTTTCCACCTTACTTTATTGTTTTTAAATGAACTGGCAGCTCAAAGTTTCATTTAAAAGCTATTTCATATGCTTTTCTGCTTTGAAAAAAAAAAGGCCCATCTGAGGATTATCTGCTCAACATGAAGCTTTAAGAAATCACATTGATCTAGAATAAAAAAATAGATCTGAGTTATTTTGTTTAAATGTTAGTGAAGGAAAGAAATCCCAGAGAGAGACGTGGATGTGACTGTTTGCCATCTTTTGAGAAAATAAATGTTCTAAGTCAGCTCAGTGATACTTGTGCAACTGAGTTTCCAATGCTGAAAATTGACACCAATACCATGACCTGAATAACTTAAAATTTTGAACCAAGAGTAATGTCCCCCTGTAAAAGAAGGACCTCCCAAATTAAAACTCCAACTGCTCCATTTTGAGCTATAAAACTGCTTTTCCAAGCTGCTGGTTGTATTGGGCTTCAAACCAAAACTGAGTGAATGCAGAGGAGGAAGTCTGATGTACAGCAGTTAAAATATATGAAGGCTTTTTGGGGTTTTGGTACACCAAACCCTTCAAAGAACAACATATTTGCAGTTTGGTATTGCAGGCATTTCCCTACCCATTGGAAGGTTAATCTGTCACGGAAGAATACATGGAGGAACATGATGCTCTCAGATGATATCACAGGCTGGTCATGTCCTTGCTACTTTAACTTTTTCTCAGGCAGAAGAAAATTAGTGTCGCCTGTAATGGGTGGGTGTCCTGATTAGCTTGTTCTCTTTCATTTTACATACTTCTATTGGAGGGAACCAATTCAGAGGTTGAGAGTGGTATTTTTGCCTTTTAATCACAGCCTGTTCAAGTCAATCCATATTTTGGCAATGGCCCACAATGTTATCTTCATCTGTTACCTATTGCCAGATTTATTCCATAGAATTTTGCACAGATCCCAGGACCAGGGAGGCTTCTTGCTGAAATTCCTCCCAGCCCATCTCCCAGCAGTCCATCCCATCCCTTTGCAGTGTGTTTAGCCTGCAAAACCCCACGTTGGGACTTTGGGTTGAGCAGCAATATTTGGGACACCCACTCGATGTCCTTAATGTTGGGTGACAGGAAAGCAGGGAGGGAACGAGTCACTGCTTTTGCAAGGTCCTGAAGCCCTGAGCTGTGGTTCTAGGGGATCTCTGCTCTTTGACAACACTTCCCACCACGTGTTCCAGCCAGGAAGATGGATGTACCTTAGTTAAAGTGAGTCATTCACTGAACCTGGGCCAAACTTTGAAGCAAATCTGGGCCAGTTTACTGCCTCAGGAGGAAACCTGGTTTTTGCATGAATTAGATGTGAAAATAAGCAGAGCCTGACTGACATCTCCTCCAAATTCCAGCTGTACGGGTAAAACCCAGAGGGCATGAGCCTCAGGCATGACAAAAATGAGGAGGGGAAAATGAGGCTTCCTGTCTCCCCTGCAAAAGCCAGAGAGACACATTTTACTCAGGACTTAGGCTAAATTGTTAATGATTTATACACTAATTAAGTAATGTTTATAGAATGGCTTACATATATAAATGGCTGCAAAGATGCTTACGTTTTTCCTGCACTCTCCAATTAAACCAGCTTTCATTACAGAGCAAAACAATTCCATCCCAACTTGTTACACCAGTTCTTTAGCCAGGCAGCTTTGCAGCCACTGCTCCCAGCTCAAACTGGGCTATTGTGTTTCTCCGAGGAAACTTCTGTGCTGGTTTGTAGTTGTTTTAATTCCATCACAGATCACATTCTGTTTAATGATAATTTGATTTTGCATTGCAAGACCCAGATGTACATTAGGAGGTCACAACCTTTCCATTTATCTCGTAAAGTAACTATTTTTTCCCTGAGTTCCATCAGGTTAAAACAGTTAGCAATTTTTCTCCTTGAAGTGTCCCTTCAGCTTGGCCAAGATATATAATAGATCAGTGTAGCTACAAATGCATTACAACATTAGTCATCAATTAGTTTTAAACCATCGCTGTAATATATCATTTATCCAGCTTGCTGTAGCAATATTGTGAACATTTAATTTTTTAAAGGCATCTTGATTTTTTAACCTGACGGCTGCATCCCCCTTTTGTCTCCTGTACAGACATCTCCTTAAGGAACAATAAAAATTAGATTTGTTTGACCTGCACTCAGGGTTCGTTTAAGCGAGATGGATTTTAATTGCTCTGCCCAGCCTACCAGACAGCTTTTATGTAATATCCCAGACATTTACGCACTGTCTTTTCCCTTGCTGTAAGCAGGTGTGTGTGCCCACAAATGCCTGTAAAGCAGCTCTTACAATTCATTTCACATCTCTGACAATCCTCTGGGAGATTGCTTTCTCTGAGATACTGCTTGGCATCAAATTAAGGCCTCCGGTCCTTGCCACTTCTTCCCTCCTAACACCATTTCCTTTTGTCTTTAAGATTCACCTTCTTGTGTGGCTAATTCTAAAAGGACCTGGCTGAGGATTGTATTCCTTGGGTTTGTGTTGTCATTTTATGGCACAGGTGACTCACCCCTGCATCTCTCTGTGGTGAGAATGGCTACAGGGCCTTACCTGTCTCTCCCCAAATCCATGATGTCCTTGCAATAAGATCTACAACTGGAAGAGGTTTGGAGTATAAGAGAGCTCAGACTGGGAGCAGCAGGTACCTTTGAGGATCTCTAACTTCAATTAGGAAGTCAGGAGAGGAAGTTATCACTGACTCAGAGCCTGGAACACCTCAGCTGCTCTGCCAGCTCTGAGTGGAGCCACAATGAGCTCACATTTGCCCACGATGAACCTTATTTGCTCCATCTGCCCTATCGGGGAGAGGAGAACCTCATGTGGAGCATTCTCTCTCTGCTCTCTCCCCTTCCATGGGTGATACAATCTGAAGATGAGGTCCTCTGTTTTTCCTCTTCTCCCCATTCCTAAAAAGGAAGATTTGGCTGTCCCATGAGTTGCCAAATCAGCACAAAAAAATGGGCCTCCTAAGCAGTTCTTTGTGCCTACAGCTGGTTCTGGTCTCTTCTCTGTTGGACACACACATGTACTTAATTCCCAGTTGTGCTGGATGCCTATTAAAAGAACAAATCTGCAAGTGAGGAGGGTCTCTTCTGCCATGTCAGTAGAAGTGAGATACGTAAATCTCCTGTGTGCTGAGGCGAATGAATGCTCAAAGTGCTTGGGAGAACAGCTGGGAAAGAGAATAAGCACTTTTTATTCTGCTGCAAAGTGTCACTGATCCAACTCTCTAAGCTGATCCTCATGTGGCTCATTGTGCCTGCTCCATGATTCTGCCCACTGCTTCCAGGGGGGTAATTCAGAGTGCTCAGCACTTCAGTCAGCACAGGAGAAGGCACAGACCTGCTTCTCCCCCAGTGCTACAGCCAGCATGGTGCAGAGCAGCAAGGGAGCACTGGGGGGGATGAAAGGACAATTCCAGAATTCCAGTCAGGGGCCCTGTGAGGGAGTGCACATGCAGATCATGGTGAGCCACAGAGAAAGCAGTGGAGGAGATGGAAGATCTGCCTATCTTGCCAGCCGAGGAAGCCAGAAGAGGGTTTGGAATAATCTTCATCCGTGCCACTGCATTTCTCTCTTTTTATCTTCCAGTGGTAAATCCCAGTCCCTCAGGAAAGATCCTGGAATGAGACTGGTACGTGATCATGGGGCAATCACAAAACATTTAAAGAAAATGAAGGGTGCTATAGGAGACCGTGGAAGAAAATCCTGTTTTCCTTTCTTGAAACTGAGCAGAATTGCACATTTGACAAAGCACCTGCACAGCTCAAGGAATTCACTTTCCACCTGCCCTGCCTGGGCCAGCACTCCAATGCTGCCATAAACACACGAGTGACTTCCCTGTGGACGAGAGACAGGAGCAGCAGAACATGGTCAGTGTTAACTGTGGCATCAGTGGAAGAAATTCAGATGAGACATTCACTGAGAAGAGCCTTAGAAGACACTTACTTGATGCAGAATTTGTGAACACAGCAGTGACATCAGGAAAAGGGATGGGAGATCTAGCACATTTACTTTGCATGTGGATAGATAATTCTTAATTTCATATTCTGTGTTTTTTTCTCTGGGGTTTTTATATCCATCAGTAAGCCACACCAGTATTTTTTACTTCCCTGACAGAAGCACTGAAAATCAGAAACCATTTATTTAGTACCAAACAAATGCAGAAATAAGAGCAGTCTGTAGCACTAAAATACACATTTGTAACCCTCTGAGGACCAGATACAGCAGAGCTGGAACACTCAGCAGCTGTAATGTGCACTGAGAAGTCACATTTGTTCAAGAAAAGCCACATTACTTATATTAATTGGATGTGTCCAGCTCATCCTGAGTCCACTTAAGCCTTGGCAAACCTCTAGCTCTGAGCATAACAAAGGTATTAATACTGATATTCCTTTATATTATCCCAGTTACATAACGACTCCCACCTTTGCAGGCTAATACTTATTCTTTGGAACACAGTGAACTATTGACTCATATCTGGACTGGGTTGCCAAAACCTCCTAAATTTAGAGATGCTTGGAACAAGAAAGGGAGTTTGGTTCAGGCCCATCCACAACAGCAAATTAAACACAAGTCATCATCTGTGCGAGTGACATTTTCGGCATGTCCAGAGCCTGGCGGGAGCTGACATTCCTTCTCCCAGAAAGATTTACAGAATTTGTGCATTGAAAAGCATTGAGGTAAACCCTGGTCTGAGGGCCAAGTTCATAAATTAGACCTGTCCCCTCCCTTCAGTAAATTACAGACATACAGGCCATCGGTTGGCTCGCTGTGCTCTTGGCAACTCCAGCAACTCTGCGAGTGTGTGTTCACAGAAAGGGAGTTTGTGTCGTACTCACACATTTACATTTCATTTTCAGAGCTTTTGGTGCAAGGAATATGTTGTACATCATTTCTTCCCTCCATTCACATCAGAGACTGGATTAAACTGACTGAGAAAAAAAGATTAAAAAATATTAAAATGTTGGCACACACTGCACTTTCTCAGCAGAAACCGTGTCGCCTGCACATCACTTTGGTTTAAATTATGTAGGTCAATGTTAGGTCAGCAAGAAGTGCTGGATTAGCATCTGCAGAGACTGAGGTCCTCTCCTCATTCACAGAACAAGTCCAGATCAAGAAACTGCATTAAAGCTTCATGCACAAAGCTACTTTAGAGGACAGGATATTTCCTCAGGCCGGCCAAGTGCTCACCTGTTCCTCCAGCCCGTGGTTTATATGGAAACCAAACTGGCCAGTTGGCAGAGTGACGAGGGTCTGACACTACCAAACTGCTTCTTCAAACACTGTCAAGGTTTTTATGAGCTGCATGTTTGCAGAAGTCCATGTACCTGTGAAATAACTGAATCACTGTCTTCCACGTGTCAAAATGATGCCATTTCTAGGCTGTTCCATCTTCCTCCCACAGACCTACCACGTTTTAGGTGGAATGAATGGCCTGAAAACCCAAATACGAGTGGCAGCTCAGACTGGCTCTAGAAAAGGGACACAGTGAATGGCACTGGGAACCCCACACAACATCCCAAAGAGATGCAGTTCACTCCGGGCTTTCAGCCTCCCAAACTGGATTATCTGTGTGAAGGTTTTCTCAATGACCTGAAGAACCAGTAGAACCTTTCATTGAAGGCTAAAAGCCTCATGTAATCAAACAACATGAGAATTAAGGTTTCTAAAAAAAAAAAAAACCCAGTATTTTGATCATACTGCAGGAACTGCTGCTACAAAGTTATGCAAATTCCAGATCTTCTGTTTCTGTAAATAAGAATTTTTCAGGGGAGAACATAGACAGGAGACAATCGTGCTCTAGCCTGAACAAGGGTAGGGAAATTCAGGCTCTAGTCCAGCTCCACTCAGACACTTCGGCTCACTGGCTTCCATTTTCCATGGTGAGACTCAAACAATGGTAATAAAAATTACAATGAAAGCAATTGAAAAATATTTGCATAATTATTTAGCGTGTGTTTGCATGCTTTGCATGTTAAACAAGGGATTGTTCCTCATCCCACACTCTCAGGACAGATAGGGAAGTAGAAAGTGTGGAGCTGAGTGGGAACAAAACCTGATGTGTGCAGAAGTAAATTCTGTTCTGCAGAAATACAAGCTGAAATGTGTATTTAAGGGATACTAAATATTGAAAGATCCACCAGCTTGGTGGAAAAAATCAGGGAGTTCACTTAGGGAACAAAGGCTGTGACACAGAAGGAAGGATGGAAATAATTGTGGAAGCAGCTGATGGATGGTGGGCCAGGCTGGAAATACTGGTAGAGCTGAAATTGCGACAGGTGAACAAAGAATGATGATGATTGATGATGATGATGATGATGATGATGATGATGATGATGATGATGATGATGATGATGAAGAATCCCTTTTCAGTTTGCAGAGTGATGGAACATGAGTCCTGCTGACTCAGGGTGAAACCCAGACTGGGAGATTCCGCTGCTGCAGGGCAAGGGCCACCTCGGAATCCTCAGTTATCTGGGATCCCAGCCACTTCCAAAGCACTGCTGAAGGCAAGCACCTTCCCGGGGAAGACATTGCTCCACAAGCCTTTGATGTGGCACATTTAAGCAGCAGGTTCAACCAGTAATTCATTGAACAAAGCATTCAAGGCAATGGGACAAACCCATGTGGGAATTAGCCTGAGTCACACTGTGCAGGAGTGGCACCCCTAAGCCGGGCCTGAACCCATCCCGGAGCTGTTCCCTTTTTATCCATTCAGCCTCTGCCACAGATCAAATTCTCCATCTGAAATACCAAGCTCTCCCTCATCTGGGATAATTTTACCTTGATTTTCAGACACCACTTTATGTGGACAGGCCAGATGAGGTTTCCTGAACACTCACTCAGGGAGAAGGAAATATCAGCAGAAATTAATGGAGAGATGTCAGAGATGTCACCTTGGGAGATTTAATTTACTGTGTCCCCTCTGTGCTTTGCCGACTTTCAGCTGACAGCTTTCAGTTGGTTGTAAGATTTGGTGAACTAAACTGGGGAAAGGCTGATTAGAGAACAAGAAATGGAGCTGGTGGTTCCATACTCCAGGAAGTAAAATGATAATCCCCTATCAAAAGACAAATATGTGATTCTCTGGCAGTAAAATTCATAAGAGCATCATGAGCTATAAATTAAAAAAAAAAAAAAAAAAGACAAAGACATAAAGAAAAACAGAGTAATTCAGCCATGGGAGAACAGAGAACAGCAAGAAAAGCAGCTGGTTCAGATATTCATATTGACAAAACTCTGGCTGGATATCAAATATATTCCTTCCCACCCCAAAATCCTGTGGGCTTCAAGGGAGCACAAACATCCCTTATCATTCTACATCATTAATTGCCAGTCCTACTCTGTCCAACTACCAGAGCATTGACCTCTGAATGCAGATACAAGTGATCCTGCTCACCCTTTACCCCACAGTTCAGTCCTGTGGGTTCATGTGGGGAGAAGCCTGAGTTGCCATATGGAACTTATCAGTCCAAGGAAAGTCTTTTTATCTTACATAGAAGGCCATTCACCATCTCCCACTGGTGTCTGCCATAAAACCAAGACAAAGTGAGGTTGTTTCAGCACTGTCTGGTCTCAGGGAACGTGGATGGATGTCCATCCAGTTTTACTGCAGTCTGGAATAGAATTTCTTCATGCAAGGAGCAAATTTAGCTGTCTGCAAATTCCAGAGGTGTTTTCAGTAGAAGTGCAAGGTTGTGCTACCAAAGGAGAACATGAGCCAAAGATGTTCTATTATCCATATCCTATTAAAGGTCAGCCAGAGCTCTTACCTCAGTGCTATAATGTGACCAGAAACTTAATTGAAAATATACGAAAAGGTTATTAACGAAGAGATGAAACCGTAGTAAATTTAATATAGCCCACAGAAGGACTCTTGCTAGAAAGAGAAGGTTACGTAGATAGATAGATAGGCCTTTAATTAAGGTGTATTGCTGGGTTAAGTGTAAATTTTCCAAGCAAAAATGAAGATAGAAAACTGGTAATTGCTTCCAATTTATATTATAAAAATCAGTCATATTCATTTTAGTTCCTAGACAGCCTTACTTAATTCTAAGCTTCATTCACTTAATTGGAAGGGAGAATTCTTTGAGTAAAAACATAAGGAATTGAGGAAAGAGACAGGCAGATTGCAAGAACTGAATGAACAGCACTTTAAATGAAATCATTAAAACCCCTCGTCCAAGATTTCACATTTGCTCTCCTCAAGGGATATTTATTATCAAAGCTGAGTAGGAAAAGATTGGGAATTATATCAGAAAAAAAATAATCTGTAATGGTTTCTTGAAAATTGAATCTGAAGAACTCCCTCTTTCTATTGCTGTCATAATTTTTCCATGTCTCAAAGTTAGTGTAGAGTAGAAACTCAGATATTTCTCTCACTGATACCTCTTGCAACTCTGGTGTCACACGTAACACAAAGGTGCAGAGAAACTACATTTACCTCAACCAAATTCTCATTTTGTTCACAACAGACTTGCAGGGGGGAGTACATTCAATGAGGGCTTTGTTGTGAGTGTTCACACAACTCTCCTTGCATCAATCAGCCTCAGGAAAAAAAAAAAAAGCCTTCCTGAAGGGTGAGCCTTTGTGGGTTTGGGAGTCAACCGATGGTGATTAGGAAACAATCCGTGGTGGCTGAGGTGGCAGATAAGAAGTAGAGATGTGAAGAGCTGACATTTACAAGTTATAGTCCTGGAGAATACCGGTGATTCACAAAAGCAGATATCAGAATCACTTGATGACTACTGTTGAATAATAAGTCTACATCCATTCAAAGATGAAAAAAAAAGTGTTGCCCTAATGAATATTGACTTATGTGAGGGGTTTAGCTCTGCAGGGTGAATATTCACAGAGCTTCATGATGTGTAACTGCTCTCTCTTTCCCCTGACAAAGACCAACACAGGATGGGCTCTGGATGTAAATTCTCCACATTCTCTGTTCTGGACAGGAGATAGAATTCTGTAATTAGAATCAGCCAAGGTGCACGGAATTAGTCCCTCCATGCATAAATGAAAACCAGTGCATCAGGAATGCATTTGTGGTGCGGGCAGTGGGTTCTGCCACAGGCAAATGCATCAGCAGCACCATTCCCAAGTCTTTTTGGGATCCATTTAAGCAACCACTTGAAGAGCATCCATAGCAGGAAGTGGGGAAAGCTGAGGCAAAGGTACTAAATCTCTCCCTATCAGAAGTCAAATGATGTTAGAGAAGTTACTCAATGGATGGTTTTGGTCTACTACTCTGGTTTCTGGAGGGAAGTGACAAGGGACGCTGCTCTATCAATTGAAATAAGGTTAAAACATCCAGATGCCAGTCGTTCAGAAATATAAAATAATCATGCTGCAAAAGTAATTAACACTTTCAGTTTTCAAAGGGTTGAGGAAGCTTTAACTAACTAACCAGTAAGGTTAGAGTAATTGAAACTCAGATGTTAGGTTGCTAAGGGGAACAGAATAATAGACTGAATTAATTATCTTAGAGAATTCAAGACTAAAACACCAAAACATTCCTGTTTACGTGCAAGGAACGAGCTCTCAGCATGTCAAGAACATTGAAGGTAGCAACAATAAATTTTTATCTGTCAGCAGGAAGGGAAGATAGAGCTTCAGAACGCCCAGGGAGGATTAGGGAGAACAGTAGACAATTGACAGTGAAACACAGACAAAGCTGGGAACATAACCATAAAGTGCTTGAGGAAATCCCTAAATCTGCTGGTATTAAAGCATTTACAGGGACTTTTCAATTTCATGGCAGCCTCACTATCAGAGAGTTCTGTCATTTCTGACAGTGGAAGCAGGCTCAGGTCTTCAAGTCAAAAAAGCTTTAGTGAGGTTTGAAGTTATTCCATGAAACAATTTCAGATGATTTCCCAAGATACAGAAACAAGTTAAAAAAAGGTAAGGAAGATGACGTAACAGAAGCATTTCAGCTGCTGGGTAGGGAGCACACACTGTCAAGGTTCAGTGGTGCCTTATCACAACAGCAAAGCATTCCCCAGCCTTTGCTTCTGCCTCTGAGATAGTTTTGCCAAAATTTATAATTACACCAAGAACTGGATAATTGAAATAACCCAAGTAAAAAACCAACCAACCAACCAAACAAACAAAAAACAAACCAGGGTGTTGTCTATTTTCCTTGGCCCAGATTATGTCCGTGATCTAATTGTAAGCACAGATCCACACACAGCTGGACTGGCACCAAGAGGAGCCAGGAATCTTCAGCACAAGGGCAGAAATGAACTTCCAAGAGTAGAAGAATATTTTTATAATGGCTTCGATGCTTTGCATTTGTTTTCAGTAGACGTAAAATAATCTGCCTTCAGGAAAAGAGAAGTGAGATAACTTCCATTTTCCAAGGGGAAAATGAGCATCCAGGCAGTCACCATGAACCTGCTGAAATGTTGGGAGTTCACAGCCCACCTTCCCCTTCTCACTGAGACACACAGAGCAAGAACAACACTTTGGCACTAAAAACCAGTTCTGATAAACATTTATTAAGAAACAAGTCCTAAAAAGAACTTTTCTGATATCAGAACAGACTAAGATGTGAATATGCAGAAAAAACTGAAGAAATATAATGGAAACTCCCTTTGCTGTCAGTACAAACAGGGTCTCAATATGCATAAGAAGAAGGGAAAGGGGTTATTTCAGGGAAAAATATCCATGGATCTTACCCAGAGGGGAAGACCCAGCCACTCTTAACTGGAAATATCCCCAGTCCCACCCTGTACCAGTTCCTCCAAGAAACTCAGAGCTGTTGCTGTTACACCACAGCTCTGTCATGCAGTGCTTGTGACGGGACACAGCACGTGTAGGGAAATGCAATGTTAAGATTAACTCCTCACTGCATTTCCTGCACATGAGACCTCTCTAACTTGATTCTTTTGCCTGCTTGTCTGCTCTGACACAACCACGAAGCTCTGGATCCCAAAGCTCAGCCAGGCCCAGGAGTTACTGCCTCCCAGCTGGTCCAGTCACCATTTCTCAGCATCCCTCACTCATCCCCTCTCCTGCCACCTCTGCATCTTTGTGCTTTTTCATTTGGATCTTTCTCTTTCATTTTTAAACTTCTACTTCTTCCCATGTGCAGAGTCTTCACCAGCACGGTGGCACCTTCCCTGTCACTTCTGGAAGGCAGGAGTGATTTACACAATCACCCCTGTGCTAAGAGGTAACACCAGGGAAGTGGTCTGAGCTCTCATGGCCAGTGCACAGAGCAGGAGAACAGAAACCTGAGCTCATCCTGGCCCTGACACCCAGCTCAGCCTCAGGCCAGTTCCACAGCCTGATCCCAGCCCTGCTGAAGTCATCACAAAGGGCTGCTGGATATAACACAGGATGAGCTCCTGCATCTCTCCTCTGCTGTTGGCTCAAGGTGTCTCTAGGGTGAAAACGTGTGAAGTGTTTTCAAAGATTTAAAGTACTACAGTTGTCATCCCACTGTTCTTATTCATCCCTGATAATTTCTGCCTGTGGGAGTAGGCCCGTTGGCTCCATAGTCGTCATTATTTGTAACATTTCTTGTATTATTCACAACACATCTTCTTCTCTGACATACTTTTATTAATTTTGGAAGTGGAACATTTTTAGCAGCAACCTTTACATATTCAACAGATGTATGATATAATTAACCAAGAAATGTCGTAAGAAACACAAAGAAAATATTCTTCTCATTATATTCAATATTTAATTGCTCACAGTTATTCTCAAATCAAACCTTCTGCTGCTCAGAGAGAGTTGTCACAGATCACTTACATTGTTTCATGGGTTTTTTTTTTAGTGAGGCTAAGAGCTCATTTTCTTAGTTTTAGACTTTTAATCTATCATAATGAAAAAGGAAAATCACACCCTAGGTAAGGTTGTGGCGTTAGTGCTTTACCTCCAATTTTGCAAATACCCTGTAGGGATTTTTTTTACTGCATCAGACAAAGGTTTGCAAGCCTTGTCCCATATTGAATCTACCTGATGGAAATTTCAGCAGCCCCATAATGATGCCAGGGTTTGCATCCTCAAAGAAAAGTAAAGTAGGTCTAGAACAGATAAGGGTTTGTGAAAATTTGCCAAAGTTTAATTTTCTGACTGAGTGGCCCAATTTTTTCCCCTTCATTCTCCTAAAAGTTGGAATTGCTCGTCCTCTCTTCTGCCATCCATTCTGTGCTGTTGTTACTACAGAATGAACAAAACATTTTTTCCCCTAGGAAAGACACTTACAGGGTAGGGATTCCCAAGGTGGTCTGTAGAGTAGCTGTCTCCCTTTTTCTATTCCAAAAGGAGCGGTAATGAGCCAAAAATCTGCTACAAATGCCACCTATAAAGAGAAAAAAAAGTTGCTAAGACATTCTGAGTATATGGGCAGACTGGAACAAGGTTAAGTGAACCATGGAATCTGTGATCCTATGGACCTGTGGTCCTTGGCGCATGGCAGTGAATCAGTGTTAGCTTTATCTTACCTAACTTCAACTGTCTAACATCAATAAACTGCCCTCTCCAGATTCTCTACATGTTTTGCTGAGTATTAGGAAGTGGTATTAGGAAGCAACTTCAAAGGACAGCTCATTCCAGCCCAGCAGAACAAAGTGAGGCGGGATGAGTCAGCTCTTGGTGCTTGTCCCCTCTGCCAGCAGCTCGGGACTTGGTGCCTTGTTGAGGCTGAATGCTTTACTTCACATGGATGGAGCTGGGTGAAGTGAACCACACTCAGATTTGTATTCAACATCAAATCCTGCTGCTTCCCACAACCTGAATTATTTTAGTCATCAGGTGCCTTACTCACTGCCTTTTGCTGTTTTGTTCAAGGAGCATTTACAGAGTAAAAAGCCTTTCCTAGACATGAAAAGGAGAATGCTCCTTGCATTTCTAACTTTGCATCTGGTAGTGCTCCCTGCAGGAGGGGGAGGTGTGGGTGTGGTGGGCTCTGTGTGTGTAAGAGATGCCAGTGATGCAGCAGCCAGGGAGGAGGAGGTATTTCCAAGAGCTTCCTGGCAAGCAGTTGGTCATGCAGGCATCAGGAGAGCACAGAAAAGAGATGACTTGGCAGCCAGAGCTGCCAGAGCTGATTCTGGTTGGTGCACTGGAATCAGCACTTTCTACAATGGAAGCAGATTTCCCAATCCTAGGGAATCTCAGCAGCTGCTGGGGGTGTCTGATTCCCTCATAGGCGACTCCATGGTCTGTTTAAAATCTCCATGTTGGATTTTAAAGATGCAGGTAATGGATATCCTGGTGACTCAACATGAGTCAGTCCAATTAAGAACTGAATCAGGCTCTCCAAATATTCCCATGAAGCTCTTTCTCTGAAGACTTCAAAGTGAATTACAGAGATTCAAAGTGCTAACAAGGATAATCCAGTGATGATATCAATGCTGGCATGACACAGTGCCCATGTGACCAGGGACAAGTCCATTTAGAGACATACTTACTGCACATACTTAGCAGCCACACAGAGATTTAGACTGGAATATAATAAATATTGCATCTTGACAGTCTTTTCTGTGGAATTCTGTAAACTGGTTGTAAAATTTGATAGAAAAAGCAAAAAGCATTCCACTAACTATGGTACTCAGGGGGCTTTCCTACAATAAATAACTGTCCTGCTCCATTCTGGAACATAAACTGAGCTTTACTGCTCAGCCAGATCTGTGGTCTGAACCATAAGGCCGCTGTTCACAGCTTTCACAGAGGTTGTGTCTATGCTGCAAATCCAAAAGGAGAAGGGCACAGTTCAATCCATGATCTCCCAGGCTGTGTTAGAACTGTGTGTCACTATTAGAACCCTTCCTGACATGGCACTGGCCTGTCCCAGCTCTCCCAGATGATGCCTTGGAATACATCAAAGTCCAAGGACTGTTCCCTGTAGACTGTCTGGGTGAGGCCACCTGCTTGGGACGCAGGAATGGGGGGAAAGAGCTGAATCATGTGGATGTGAGTCACGATATATTACTGTGCATTTGGGTTATTTTATTTTCTGGCCATAGCCAGAGAGACCAGGGAATAAATGGCCACCCTTCCTGAGGCACTGAACCACTCTTCCTGAACAAGCTGCTCCCTGAAAAAAGTCCTTTGGTGAGGGTGTGCAAAGAGAAAGCTGCTGGCTTTGGGCAGAGTTTGTCCCTTGCCGTGGCTGAGCTGGGGACAGCCGTCTCCCGGGCTGCCTTCCAGCTGGAATCGGCACCGACTCATTCACTGCAAAAAGCAGAAAAAGAAACAGGAAAAAACGATATGAGGTTTCCATGGCTACTGGATTGTTTACTTTCTTCCGACTGTTATCACAAATTTTGCCATCCAAACAAGCAACAGATGTCAGAAATAACGTTTGGGTTTAGTGAGGGTTCATTTTGGGTACGCCACGGGGAAAGGTACTGACCTGGAGCCCAAGGAAGTGGCACAAGCTCATCAGTGGGCAAAACATAAAGAAAGTACAGACTTCCAGATTCTAAACACTGGGCTTGGAGCTCTTCCTCAGTGCTATCTCCCAATTGCATTGAATTTCTAGATTTCATGTTTGTGGGGTTTTTTTGGTGGGTTTTTTGGGGGTTTTTTTTGGTTTGGTTTTTTGGTTTTTTTTTTTTTTTTGGGTTTTTTTTGGTTGTGTTTTTTTTGTGATGGTTGTTGAAAGTAAAAAGTCAGGAGTAACCTCACATCTGGTTTTCTGAAGAAATGGCAAAAACTTTGATTTTAATATTTTAGAACAATGAAGAAAGAGCAAAAATCAAAGCCATGTAATCAGTTCCTGCCATCATTGATGCTGGAGTGCAGAACAGGTTATCCTGTATTAATTTATGATGTATTCCAGAACAACAGGTGGAAGTACAAGTAATGCCTCTCCTGTGTGCCTGGTCAGCTTATCATTATTATTCAGATAACAAAATACAACTTAAGTGGAAAAAATCTCAGCAATTTTCATTAACCACTAACCAACCTTCTCCTTGCTTTCCTATGATTCTATCATGCTATTTCCTTATTTCAGCTCGCCACCCTGGTCCACTTTTTGGAGCAACACCTGGATCCCACCTTTGCTACAGAGCTTTTTTCCTTCACTTCCCTCTTTCAGATAAGTTCATTTCTTTAACATACCAGCAGCATTTACTGAAAGGCTCTACAGAGAATTTCATAGCTCTGCCCAAATTTCCATCACCCACTATAAGGACTTTGCTAAACCACAGCCTCAGTGCTGTTGATTTGGTTTTCTTGTAAATCAGACTTCTTATTCACAGTATAATAGCTCGAAACCCCCAGAGAGTTTCCATAGATGTTCTTTGCTGGCTAAACAGGCTGCACAAACCATGAGCTACTCAACAGTTAATAATAAGCAGCTTCTTCCCTCAGCACTTGGTTTGAAAGGACTACAAGCTCTGAGTCATTGCACAGTTGATTTGAGCTTAACCCTAATAGCTCTGTTATGTCCTGGCTTATTCCTAAATCTTCTTGGAAGCAGGAGAGTGTCAACAATAAACTTTTAAGGTTTAACACTCTTAACACCAGGTAAACGGCTTTATCTCAATTAAAAATATCAGTAGTGTCCCTACCACTACATCACGGAGCTGTAAAGTAACTCCAGAGCAAAAGCATGTGCCTGCTGGTATATGCCTGAAGAGGTTCTGGGAATTAATTCTGCTTTGCAGAACTATTCCAGTTATTCATGTGACTCAGCGGCGGAGACCGGGATCTTCCTGCACTCCAGGGTGACGTGCTGATTCAGGCTGGTTCAGCAGCCCGGCAGAGGAGGCACCTTATCAAAAGAAAAGCCCTTTTTGGGGACAGGCTCTCCCAGCAGCTGGGAAGGAAATTTCCGTTCCGCTCCCTGCGCTGCTCCAGTGGGGTGAGATTAGCGAGTTATTATTAGAGCTGGATGATTTTCTTTACTCTGGGTAAAAAGGGAATCATTCTTTTCAACCAATAAAAGATTTCTGGGTACCGCTGCTGTGATGTGTGTCCAGATGTGATCCCAGGGCTGAGGGCAGTGTCACAGAACAGGGCTTTGCACCTCTGCTTTCAGTCCTACCTGAGGGGATTTCAGCCATTCTCGGTATTCAAGTTTTATTTATAAATGTTTTAGAAAGGATTAATACCTGGCTGACTCTTGTTACACACACATCACAGAGGGAACAGCAAATGGCAAGTCATTTATCAGTACCCCCTAAACTTATTCAGCTTGGTAGGGAATGACTGATCAAGATATTCTGAATAGATTAACCCTTTATAAACCGATTGCAAATAGTCTCTGGCCAAAAGGCACTCATGAGCCCCATTATCTGATTGAATGCAGGTATCTGGGATAGGAGCCTGAGCATCTCAGCCAGTCAGTCCACACTCTCTGTGGGCAATACAGTCAAGCAAGTGAGCTGAGTCCTCTAAAAAAAGTAAACATCCACAGTAGGTCTGTCAAGAAGCAGCCAAAATATTTTAAGTGACCAGCCCGGGATCTCACAAAACAGACTGTGGCAGATCAAGACAATTCATATTTCCTAATTTCTGAGTTCTGTGTCCATCAGACCACAGCTGCCCTATAATCACATCATGATAGCTCTGCAGTTCTGCAGAGAAGCTGTGAATGCATTTAATCAAGGGTCTTAAATCTGCCAGCTCCAGAAAAACAGACTTCCTTCAATATTGTCCACAATCCAGTATTTTTGTAGGACCAGCCAGTGTAGCCAAGCCAGCAACCACCCAAGAAGTTACAGAACCCAGAAGTACCTGGAGAGGAGCAGGGGTTACATCCCACACCTGCACTATGGTTTCACAGTTCATCCCGATACAAATTACAATTACACAGTGTTTTTGAAACATGTTGTACCAATTGCAATACCAAAGTATTGCCTCTTGTACTCACTGTTCCTCCACAGCCTCCCTCCCCTGACCTTACATCGGATTTTCTCTTGCAGGAGACATTATTTTCTGTCTGTTCTGCTGCTCACCTCTCCCACAACAAATGGTATGTGAAAAATATAGGGGAGGCAGTAGATTTAACCTGGATGGTTAAATGGATAAAGGAGCAAGTACAGCAGCATGTGATACATAAATGAATTTTTAAAAATCCATCTGCTGACCCAGGCTTTAGATGTATCAATGGATTGGAGCAGAAGAAAAAAGACTGTCAATAAAAGTGAAAACAGTGCTGTCTAAAATAGAAAGGAAAGGGGGAAAAAACGAAAACTATGTCAGGATGTTTTTCTTTTTCACCCTGAAGACCTGGAAGGTTTCTTCAGGACTAGTCAGACTATAGCTGCTAATTCAGGTATTAATGCCCCTCAGTCCATAAAGCTGTAAATTCTTTCCAAAATCAGGACTTAAGCATTTTTATCTACATGAGAAATTTAACCAGCAGGTACTCACAGGCATAAATCCATGTGGTATTTGAAGGTTAAAAAACAGAGGAAATGTGCAGCCTGGGAAAACTAGGGACTTTCCATTCCCGGTGTAATGAAACGACAGATTTAAAGTGCAGAGTGAGAAAAGTCACTGAAAGGAATTAGGCTTCAAGCTTCCTGAGACATACAGGCTTTGTTTTTCAAGGCTATTGATAAATCTATCAGTCTCCCGATTACTGTCCCCCTCACCCCTTGGAAAACCCTGAAAAAGAGGAATTTGCTGAGTTAATTGGAAGGGAAAGGGTTCAGAGAATATCCACTGTAAGGTCCCTCTGAAGAAGGAAAGTCCCCGGAGGCAGACCAATAATTGGTTTTGACCTTCCGCAGTTTAAGAGGCGTCGCTAAAGACGAGACTTAAACACGGCCTGACAACTGCGAGTTCCAATCAAACTCAGAAAGAGACGGAAATTGGATAAGCGAATTCCTTTTTTGTTCATGACCCCGGTCCCGCTTTCCTTTCCCCCTGCAGCATGACACATCAGAACGTGTGCCATAAATCGGCGTTGGGCCAGCCCAGCCCGTCCATGGGCAATGGCCGCGTTGTGCGCGGCCGGGCCGGGCCTGGGCTCGCCCGGCACAAAGCCCGGCTCGGAGGAAGGAAGCCGGGTGATTTCATTGCTTGTTTTCAGCACGGTGTCAATTCCCTCGCTCTGGCTTTGGAAGGACTCTCCACAGCAGCGCTAGGAGCCGCTTGCCAATTTAAGGAAATTTGGTTTTGAATGCAGAAGCCCACAATCGTCATTTTGTCAGAAGCTGCAGCTGACAAAATGCTTTCCTTTTTGTACATCTGA